TCCTGCCATTTCTGACAAGCTGCCAGCCATGGCTACTGGTCAAGAGTGGCCGGCTAATTACTCTTCATCGCTTCGTTTCGTTTCGATAGGGGAGGCTAATCCTTTATGTTATCGTATGATGACGAAAGACTGTTTTTGCCATATAACAACAGTAGCAACTGATATCTATTTAGACGAAGAAGGATTTTTGTACATGTGCTGGCTCTTGATAAACATTGATAAAGTTCAGTATCTTCTGATGGTCTCCCGCCGACTTCTGATTAGCTACTAGGTGTCCCTGCGGCTAGTCCTGAACGATGCTCACGAAATTCAATCATCGCTTTATCACAGGTCATAAAAGTGCTATTGAGAGCCTTGAACTGATCAGGTGTTTAACGCTGGTCGATCGTGACGTGTCGGAGCAATGCCACAAATAACAGTGAAAAGATATATGTGCGACAATTACGCGTACGAGAAAATGGCCAAATGTCTTATTTTTTTGTTTCTTGCCAGCGCGACATTGATAAGTCTGTGAAAAGCAGCGCGTCAGAGCTTGAAACAAATGGGAACGGATAAATGTGGATGCACGTATCTTTCTCTATTATGGGTCCACTTTGCCGGTCAGTGCATTCGGTTATGCCCAAAGCATGAGCACGACTGTGACGACGATAAGGGCAGCAACAACATGGCGCCATAATTAATCCTAGGCTGAATAAATCATTTTTATATCGTCATTTGAACGAAAACAAAATTGATACGGATCGTATGATCATAGCCCAATTGTAGGCAATTACTATGCTGCTCTCTCTGTGGGTCTGTCTGTTTGTGTGCGTGCCTCTGTGTAGGACAACAAAAAAATGGGCGGACGAGATCGGACATATTTTTGTAAACTGTAAACGTTTTATGGATAACCTCCATTTTACTGTATTGGTAGTAGCCGTCAGTCATGATAAAAACGTGATCGAATCGATGAATATATAAGCGAAAGGAGGAACAGGATGACAGTAAGAGAAATGGTTTATAGTGCGTCTTTTATATAAGTGGTACTATGTAATTGACTATACGTTGCCGATTTCGACTCTAGGGAATTTTTATGTACTCGTTCATAAACTTATTATGACTTATGGTAGCAACGTCATAAAGAGGAAACAGAGATTTGATAAAGTAACATAACATCTTATCGTTCATTGCAGTATTCTGTCTTAATTAAAATTAACGAAAGCGAAGAATGATAGGGTTGTCGATCGGTCTTACATTTGTCTTACACGATATCGCGTTAACAGCGACGTCTAATGTTTTTCCTAAATTATTCATTCAATCCGCGGTAAACTCACCAATGTCCAATGGACATAGGTAAAAAATGCTCTGTGGGCTAATGGGTAAAAAACACAAGTATATATTGCTACATGCGATTGCTAAGACTGCTCCGTCGGAAGTGTGACAATGCGCAACGCTTCAGAACGAGTGTATTTGTTAAGAGCTAACACAATTTCGAAGGCTTGTTGGTGTTAAAGTGAATCCATCGATTCGAAAGATCAGAGCTAATTTATCCACACAGAACTACTGAACAATACCGACCATGTAAAAGTTGACGACTTTATGTCCGTATATAGACCCAGTGATGGTTGTTTAAACGTTTACATTATTGGTTGCAGCCATTGTCTATTGTCCGTATCTAGGCGATTTTCTAATTCAGAAAATCATCCATGACAAAGTTGCTGACGTCTTACGGCTGTTATGAGTGCAACTGCCTCACTAATCTCTACTCGCTCATTTCAACACCAGCAGTTCCGTGAGATGGCTACATGCTGGTGGAAACGACCCGTCGTCGTTCAAACAGAAGCGCTACTCCGAACAGTAACAAGAATAACTTCAAAAAAATCGACATGCTTCATTTTTACTAAAAGCTGACTGGCGATCGGATTCGGACCCAGACCAGCGGTAGAAGTTTTCTCGATGCCTGTAATATTTCTGTGAGCAATTGACTCTTGGTTGGGCGCTAATAGTGGTGACCTATTCTGAACCGCATTACCGACAGGGTAGTCTTGGAAAATGTATCGATCCGCGCCGTTTTTAGATAGGACAGGATAAATACTCTTTCATATCTGACACCAGTCAGCATTAAGAGATATTCAAAAAAGCCCACCACTATTTCGCAAACGTGGCATGGAGACTAATGTCGATTGATAGCAGTCGGTGATAGTCACAAAATAAAGATTATGAATTTCATTTAAAAGCGAAATTGCTCTAACATTTCATAGTCTGCTTTGGCTGTTCTATCATCATTTGGACTCTTAACAGAACAATCTGTAGAAGCGTGAAAAAACCAAATCACCTAAGAATTGTAAAGTTTTAGTACTTATTATTGTATTGTTATTAATTAGATATATATGTGTGTGTGTTCATTGCTTGCCAGTTGAAATCTTCCACAGAGAAAGTATCGCAGGTAAATTGATACCTAACTTATTTGACAAACTTCAATGACTCGATGTAGCGGTTCATAAGTTCAGCCAAACCATCAATTCGCGTAAGCTTAGTTAAAGAACACGAATAACTTTGCTTCGTAATATCGTACTAAATAAATTTCATTCAAGATATATAATACCTGTTACATACGCGTTAACTAATGAAGATGGGTTTCAGGAAATCAAAATGTAGAAAACGTATCAAAAATTATAGTGCACTTGTGTCGCGTCAACACATTATCTATATGATATTTAAAGTACAGCTAATGAATACGTACCGACAGCGACCTGTTGTTGTTGTGACACATTTTCACTAAACTGAGTTCGATCACTATCGACTAGTTCTGAACGTAAGGTTTCTGCAATTACCGATGCAACTGTCTCTGTCGTAGACGATGCATAAACGATGAGAACACAGAGTACATAACACTTATTCCAATGAGCGATGCACTTCATGACTTTATTTGGATATATACTGAACACACACGCACACACACACACATATATACACACCTCACATAAACACTGGCCTTCACGTACGATTGTATTCGGGACGTAATTATATCCGCCAAGTACAAACAGCGCCCTGTTTCATTTCGTACGATACTTTACACAGATGTTCCTTGCTGCTATTCAATTACAGCAATTTCCAACTTCATCACTTGCTATCATAGACACAAAGTTACACTTTCCTGCAATATTTGTCTTCTTGGGGCAAAAGTATTCGTTTCCTCCTTAGTGCGTGTATCCTCAGATCCACAATGAATTAACAGCTCCGATGTTGCAAACTGATCTATTCCATCATCTGTCATATGCCTTCTTCCCTTTTAGGTTGCACACATCGTACGAAACTAGGCGAGGTTTTCAGCGTATTCTTCTTTGCACAAGCACATTTAAGCACAATACAACTCACTTTCAAAGATCACCACTTTAGTCTTAACGTAGCACACACTATACCTTTTACTTTTCAGGCTCTTCTCTTCCAACTTCCTCGAGCTTTCGCCCGCTGATAATCTTTTCACCATCAGGTCTGTGTTTTCGACTTCAGTATTACCCTATTGACATTATACGCCATCTGCATAGGCCGTTGTAGCCATACAAAAATCTGCACGCTGCACCCAAAAAAGTGATACTTAAGCACTGAGGAAGCTGGTTCAAAAAGCCAGCTACTCAACGCCGGCAATCCTCGATATAGACGATAAGCTGGCGTTGGCCATGGGCACCAGTGGTGCTAGTGATCTCGTGGGCGGTGGCGAGGGCCTGCGCTCGTGGAACAGACTTCGCCACTTCAGCATTTTAATGTCTTCAGACGCATCATGGAACGGGAAGCGTCATGACACTGCTCTGAATCTGTCACAGAGCTAGTGCAGATAGACAGCGTCGATAATGACAGCCTAATTACATCCAAAGGATGTGTCTGTAAGCCAATGGGTGGACTGTGGTAAGGGATGGGTCGCACGAATACATTTGGCATAATTTAGATTCGTAATAAGATTATCACTTTGTTGAAGGGTGCTGAGTTGAAAATTGTCAGTAAGGTGTGAGGGAACGTGGCAATAAAAAGTTAGTTGGGCCTTCATTTTACTCTTCAATTCGTGTATAAGGTGATGGAGAACAAATTTGGAGTATAAACTTGGGATCGATATTACGACAGACGATTTTCAACCTGGGGCTAAAATAGATCATCAGATTTCCCAATATCGTCGAATTGAACGATCGCGGAAGAAATTTTTGAACAGGATTATACAAGACCAAAATGCAATCAGTGAAATGGATGTCTTGTTTTAGAAGTCACTACTGCGAATAAACCAATGTAATTCTATCTAATATAGTGCAGAGTTTCTGCCAAAAGGTTGAAAACAGACGACATTTTTAGGTATCCACTTGTAATTTCTAAACCTAAGCGTAAGACGTTACATTTATGCTATGTGTTTGTTGGTTTTGTCCTACCATTTAACTTCATATTTCGACAGGTACGAAAAAGGATCTAACTCTAACTTACTAGCGATATGGTCAAACAATACATTCTTCTATATGACGGTGATTGAAGGGTACGTCTACGCTAGGAAAGGAGGAATTATCGTCAAAGATCTTTTATTTCGCTATGACCGATCTGAAATAGAAGGTAGAAATGAATAGACTAATTGAAAATCAGCACATTATCGGTCTCGACTTCTTGTACGTTTCCTCTCGTCGGAGATAATGTTTTCTGATTGGACTTTCAAATGTCTACTTACCGACTCACCCACCAGCAGTAAAAACAGATGAAGCCCAATGTCGTCGGAGATACAGGACCCAGTTCCGAAGCCGGGGACATGGTCAATTGATGATGGCAACTTGTCGCTTTTCTTTTGTTAGTGTTAACTCGGTGTATAACTTGCATACCAGTCTCGGGACGTGCATGTATGCAGGATTCCCTAATTTCGCGCAGAGCTCACAGGGGCAATCAATTGGCGAATAGGGAATAACGCATACATACAACGAACGAGATTGCTTACAAAAATACCCGAAAACTTGTACCGTTCATGCATCATGCTCAATTGTTTTAGACCTTACCTCGCACTACAACTTTGACCTCTTTATGAATTTCTCCGAGGGTATTTTTTGCCGTACATTTGTAGGTTCCCACATCGTCTCGGGTAACATTGGAGAAGTGTAGGGTACCATCCGGTTCGGATTGGAGATGCGTGTTATCTAAGCCCATATAAAAGAGAAGCAAAAACAAGAAAAACGATTGTCAATTTACTACATTTGTGGTACTCGATTATTATGCAGCGTTGGCTTGGAAAACCACTACGCTGATACTGTTAGCTTCGTGTTAACAAGACACCTGCGCCCCCATACGCATCCCGACATGTTTCTTTCAATCGTTAAACGCTAAACAATTGATGGTTTATGCTAAAATGCACTGTCAGTCCTTTTTAGCATCGTTTAAATAAACCGGAATAGAACATTATGCAGTAAGCAGTGACCTGCGTGCACCACAAAAAGCAGAAGGTCGGAGGGGAAAGCATATGGCTATCAAAGCTATAACGGCACAGTTAGAGCAATCGTATGCACGTTGACAACAGCTAACGATAGTCGCCATATTGACATTTAGTGATAGCGAAGGAAATACGCGAGTTCGTGACTGTGACGGCCCGGTGAATCTGCGACACGTAAACGAGTCACGAAGTAGCTACAGACATATAACTTATAAGAGAAGCAACAAAGCAGAAGACCCAAGCAGCCATCACAGGTTGCATATACGATGATGTACGGTACGGGCACGTAGTTTAAACACACAATTGTAGCTGATCGAAAGCAGTACATTAATATAGTGCGGTGCCGTCGCTCTTTAATATCAAGCTAATCCCAATAATATGCTCAACCTAACCTGTGAAATGTGTCAAAATATGTACGTTCAACAAGCGAACAGCAAGACGTGGTCTAGCCAACCACGAGCAGCAGAATTTACGGTATGTATATAAAGCGTGAAAACGGATAAATTTTTCTTTGTTTTTATTTTATGCATTCGTTTAAGTTGCGCAAATACCTAAGCGAATGATATAGCAAAATTCCGAATATGTTCTTATCCAGGTTTTAAGTGCAATGAAAGGTTTATATATAAGGCCGAGTATTTACCGAAGGCCACTAAACCTTACGAGCGATAAATTGCGTAGCCAAAAAGAAACAAAGTCAAAACTGTGTAGAGAATTATATACGTGTTGGAGAATATTTAAGGACACTAACTTAAATAATAATCTCTGTACTGTTGGAAGGGGCTAAGGACAAAGCAAAATCAATCGCAATAACTAATAGCTTGCGTGCGTTCTTAGTACGTTAAAGATTACCTCTGGATTGACTTATTTGGTGCGTACCATAAACTAAGTTTTTGCGTGCAGGCATTGTTAGTTCCGTTAGATGGTCAGCAAACACTGGCCAGAAGATCATGTTTGCGGTCTCATTCTAATTTGAAAGGAAGAAATGAACGTGTAGACAGTGAACTCAACGTATGATGATAGTTCATCACTGAGCACTCACCTCCGAGATCAACCCGCTGCCATGTAATAGTTGCCTGTGGATAACTAATTACGTCGCATTTTACGTTGAGCGGTTGGTTGAGAGAAGCTACGACTTCTTTTTGAAGATCGCTGGCCCATGACGGAGGTCCTATTAGATTGCAGAATCACGAGCAAGCGGAAAATATGTTAGATTGTTGTTTCTATAGATTTTTACATGATTTGCTTTTTGGGGACCATGCAGCGAAAAATAATTGTAAAAATGAAGGTCGAAATTCTTCGCCACAGAATTTTCCAATGAACACTCATTGACTTCACACAGTCAATGCGTTTCCGACACGTATTGTTTCAAGGAATTGACTCGATTTTAAGCTAGATGAACACAAAGAGTGTGATAATATGAATCAACAATGAATAAAAAGGATTCTGTGGCGATATCAAACTGAGCAGAATCATTAGCTTAGACTAGTCTTTGTTATACGAACTTCTGACCCAGTCTGACTTCCAGTTAAACACTGATCGACCTAATACAGTATGCTCTCCACCTTAGATAGAGAAGGACTATTGATAAAAAAAAAAAAACTAACAAAAAAATCATATCTATGGTGGAGCAACAACTGAGCATGCATATTTTCTGGAGGAAGTTCAAAGCAGTGAATTTTGGTAAATTACATCGTATTATAAGGCTATTTATAAATTGTTGAAAAAAAAAAACTGTTTAAAAATCTTCTTCTGAGAACTGTTAAAAAATCTTCTTCATTTTCTAATCGTATATTGGATATCATAAGGGTCTGCTCAGCTTCCTTCAGAATTTTGTTGGGGGGTGGTATTCTACAAAGATAAAGAAAGCACTTTACGATTTTCGTTGAGTTATTGATGACCTGAAAATTTACCTATGCGGTAGAGGACCAAGGGCCCTCACCGCAGGAACTGACCCAGCACTATCTATAGGTTATTGTGCTGTCAGGTGTGTGTGTTAGGCCAAAATGTACGACTCACAAGGTTCGCGCACTTCGCCGCTGGGCAGTTCTACCTAAAACATACGATACCAAGGACATACAGGATGTTCTTCTTCCTTTTCAGCAATACATATTATATAGCTAAACTGAATATTGGTTGGACTCGTACTCTTCTTCTTCTTCAATTCAGAGTTTACAGGACCAAACTTGCCATAATTTTTGATTGAATATTGTAAAAAAAAACTGCCTGTAATAAGACTTCGCCATAAAGAAAGCGACCGAACACGTTTTCGTAAGCATAGGAATGAGTAGTAGCTTTAAGAAACCGGGACTAACAGCCGATAATCTTCCCCTCGGATAAAGAAGCTGCGAGTATAATATATAGGTTCATTTACTTTGCGTGACGGGTAGAAAAATTAGGGAATGAATAAGATCAACCGCAAGAGGACTATAATCGAGATGTCGCTGGCAAGAAATCTGGAAAAGAGGCGATTTATTATCAAGACAACCACGGGTTATCCTACACGGCGCTGGACATTTTGAATCAGAGCTTACTGTGGTGACCGAGTGAACCAGCTCCTGTGTTCTCAGCCGACGCCAAAGACGCCTGCAGCAAAAGCTTCAAGCGAGCAGCTGATCGAAGAACACAAATTTATTGATATATAATTATGATTATTATTATTATTTGTTCTTCACTCGTTGATAGCACCGCGTACACAGGTCAAAAATAATTGCGTTCTATGGCATTCGTCGCTAAGTGCGTCTCGAAACCATCTGGTGATCGCCACTAAATGAGACCCCAAGAGGACGTAGGCGTGTGTCGATGTCAGACCAGTACGAACATAGTATTATTCAGCGCTAGTGATTTTAGCGGATTTAATCTAACAATAATAGTAAGAAAGATATTGAGGCAGTAATAAGTGAGATATTTTTTCCCAGCTGTGTGGTAACAAGCTTCTGTTTTCGATACAAAGAGTAATAAGAGGAAAACTAATCTACGAAAGCCAATAAATACTCATCAAAACAAGCACGTACACAAAAATATGCGTAATAACCATGTCCCACCCAATTCATATGGAAGAATGCCATGAAGGTTGAGCTCTGCTCGCGAATGTAGAACTGAACGAAGCGCTATAGTTCGAACGCGAAAGCTGCTGCACGCAACGAGCTGGGTCATTTAGGCTAGCTTTTAAAGCCATAAAATTGACGAAAATTATCACCAGTGAGGGGTCGAGGCAGAGGCTAAAGTAAAAACAGATCAATAGAAACGAAATGTAATATCAGCGGACGTACGCACGACAAAACAAACGACGTATTTATATGATTGCGTATACATGTATCATTAGTGATACTTTGATAAATACAGGCAGACAGAGGAACCAGTTAAATCCGTAGGGGAGAGTGAATGAGATTAATTCAGGGCGCAGTTGATAAGCAGCAACCAATGGGACACGATACATTATCGCTACGATTAGATATTATATACAAACTTCGACGAAGTTAAGCAAGAGAATCTATTGAGAGAACATCCTGTATGCATATACCTACATACAATAGAGTGATGATAATGATCATTTGCAAAAATCATTTGCAATTTTATTGATAGTATCGATATGTACATGCACAGACGCAATGGTAGACAGCGGACGTAACGTAACATCGCCGTGTCTTAACATCAGCTGCTAAGGACTTGAAACGTCACACATAGCCCAATGCGTTTACAGCTCGAAAGCTTTGCTTGTCGAATGTGCAATAAAGTATGACTAAGCATCAATAATCTTTCAAAGTAAAAAAAAAACTGACTTTACTCATTTAATACAGATTGGATGTGTTACAACTTCAAGTCCTTTTACAAATATCTTTGTTATTGCTACCCCTCCCACCCTTTTACCTGAAAACGCACAGTAATAAAACGTTAATTACTTTCATCACAAACAATTTCATATACACATATGAATGCTGAACAGATAAAAGAAGCCTTACCAGTGCTAGTCGTAATGGCGCATATACGTCGAATTCAATCAAATATCTTGGGCTGGAACAAATCTGGATCGATAATTAGATCTGCAGCTTCCGGGAAAAAACTAGCAAATCCTGGACCAAATTCTCTTTCTGTATCTTCATGAGCAAAAAAAAATAAGTATATCGAAGATTCACCAGAAAATGCCTATACTGCTTTTGTACTTCACAACCGAATCTCTTCAGCGTGACTTTCTTTTTCTTCTATTGTGTTTGTAGTTCTCTGTCTGAGGGGGGGGTTAGCGATGTGTTGCAGTTCAGGCATTTTCCGGTCAATCCCGAGCAAACGCATTACGATAGTAGAATTTGTTCTCAATTTATGTACCCCATATGATCCTCCTTAACTCGTTCTTGTTTTGCAAAGCCATAATACACGTTGTGAAAACAGAACAGTGTAAATGATATAATAAATTTCCAAACACTCAAAGCGCACCTATTAACTGTACCAGGAATAAACCGATAACCACGACACCAGTTCGAAACCTTGAAGTGACGGATAATTTTTGGGAAAGCCGATAGTAGCTTCTGACATGATAAACGCTCTTATCGCGTAAGTCATCGTATGCGGTACTCTGTTAGATTGTATATCCGACGTAAGCGCAACGTTCCCATGTGTTTACCACTTCGTTTAATCATATCTTTATGCCTAGTGCTTTAAACCAATGGAATATAGAAAATATCCACTAGTAACAGATACCTTCGACAATAAGTCTGGCGCTAACTCGATCCTCTGAAAATGAGTTCTTAGCCACACAAGTATAGTTGCCAGCGTCACCGGCCTCTATGTCGCGGATGGTCAGAAATGAGCTTACAGGATTATCATGAATACGGAATTTTCGGCCATCTCGAATGAGCTGACCGTCTCTGGCCCAAAGGAATTCCGTAACATCTCCCGAAAGCACCGTACAGACGAAATTCACCACCCGGCCAACGCGCACCTTTTGAGTTGTTAGCTTTTCTAACTGTACCGTTTCTGTATTAAACATTCGACCATAAGCCATTCACAAACGGAACTGTTTTTGAAGATATTCCAGATGTCTGAATGTATATTCTGTTGCATACAATATAGTGTTTTTACAAACAAAAACTCCCGAAAACACTCACCGGTGCTGATGGAAATACAACTCGTCCATAAAGTGCACGTAACTAAAAATGTAGATGCAAGTGGTGACGCCATCATACCCGAAAACGTTTTATCAAAGGAGCGCGTCAATGAAGGCTCCTTGAGTATATGTGAGTTGGGTTCAAATAGCCTCGCTCCCAGCGCTTGGAAGTTACGGCTAGGGAGATTACAGCGGCAGTTTTGATCAAATCGAATAGGAAGCCTTAAGACAGACATATAGTCAAGACAAATCCCCGTCGCTTAGAGGTTCGAGTTCAAGATGCTTTAAACAAAATAGGCTATCTCAGGAACCGCATTTGGGTAATCTGGTACAGGTAAAAGCTGAACTACATAAATGAATAAATTTGTTATATCTGTTCTACCCTGAGCTGGCTCAATAAGATACGGTAGCTGATGCGTGTATCGAAGAAACGCCGCGGATATTTTCACCTTATTCTAAAAGTGTATCCTTTAGCACCAGTACCATGAATCATGAGATCGAGGTATCAATATAAACATAATATGAACGCCTCGATCTTCTCTTTCATAAAACATATCTGTTCTATCAGTAAATAAGTATGATTATTGAACACGCCAATCCTTCTTTCTGTCGAAGTAAACAATGAGTATTACACCAATGAACTGAAGCTTTATCTTCATTGCCGCTCGCTTTAAGCTGGCTTCCTTTCATAGTACCTTGCACAGTCATAACAATGCTGACCCGGTCTTCTGAGCGAGAATTCTTTACTGCGTAATTATCGGCATCATTATGACTCACGTTTCGCATGTTTAACATGAAAATATCCAAATTAATATTTATCACATGTTTGACAGTGTCGTTATTGATCGATCGGCCTTTATAAGTCCACAAGAACTCTTTGACACCCCCAGCGAAAATAATTCAGTCAAGGAGTGCAGTCTGTCCGGCCTTCACTGTGATGGGTGGAAGTTGTCAATGTGAATTTGCTCTCAGATATTAGAAGGCCGATTTTACCAATTCACATCAATCGTTAACATATTGGAAATTCGTAATATGCTTTATTAAAAGAAGCTCGGTTATTTAGTCTACTTCATTAATGAAAAATGTACTATGAGTCGAAAACGGAGTGTTTCATTATAATCGAAGTCCGTGCAGTATTTGACGTGAACTAAAGTGGTAAAAGCGTTTCATCATCCATAAAACTTAATTTACCTTAGATACGATATAATGCAATTCGATATGAGTAATGGCCCCCCAATTGCTGCCTGAGGCATCGCAAGAAATAAGTGGGAACTGTATACCTTTACTGAAAGCAAAGAGATACATGGCGAACCTTGATCAATCTATTAGCCAATCAATCGTAGACACTGGCGTTCAGCTTTTTACCGTTGGACAATGATGTATCCGATAGCGGCAGTGCAATTATTAGCTGAATAATAGCACCCGGTAACGTATTTCCACATACGACACGTCTGGTATTATAAACGGATTTCAGTTCTCGTTAACGTTTTTGAGCTGTTCCGTTTGTATGGGTTGTTCGTACGATAGTCTTATTCCCATAGGCTCGACGATCGATATCTAGAGTTTGACGCAAATTTGCGGATATTGGTACAACAATACAATTACCATATGTTTTCTACGAATCATTGACGCGTTAAACAATTTTTTGATGGCTCGCTTCAAGCGTAGCTTATCTACAACAGTCACCTACATCGGTTTTCACGCAGTGTACGTCATCGATCCATCGATCAAGCTATCTATGAAATCAAAAATCAATCTGTTCGACTCAATAATTTGTATTAGCTTTGGCCCCAAATGAATATTTGGTTGAATGACTTTGTCAAGGTGTATATAAACTGAATTATTAGAGTGAATAATAACTGTATAAAAGGTACAGTCCGCAGTGAACACAGCCGATGTTGAAACCAAGATCTTTCAGGGTTTGAGCCCTCGAAAGGAAAACCACATGTATTAGACAATGCCTTGTGCCGAATGTGGATTCTTTGCTAGGCACATTTACCTGCCAGCATCGTTATGGTTTACATTTTGAACGTTCAGCACAGAGTAATCAGGATAATGTTTATCATGATCTCGAAACGCCACTCCTTAACAGCTGATCCTCCTTGACTCATGAAACCGACTCCGTCGCATTTCTAGCGATAGCTGTACAGACGAAGTGTACTGTGCGGCCTGCTTTCCGGCCGAGGCTTTCCGGCCGAGGCTTTCCTTAGTGAATAGGTTCTAAAATACGGTTCATATAAATTTTCTGTCAAACTTCGTGCATAGATAGCATTAATAAACGGGGTGCTATTCCAAATTTAGGGAAAATGTTGCGTTCCCTTGTTGAAATTACGCAGGATCTAGGCAGTACCATAAGAATACATCTGTCGTTATGTAGTGAATTATCAGACTTTTTATTAAATGAAAATAGATAACATATAGGAATTATAATTGCAGAACCTAACATTTGCTTTATTATAGTTTACGTCTATTAAAAGCATTGAAAACAGGACGGCGATGCATTAAACTGACGCGTGATACCTTAATTTGGAAATAAAAAATGGACAAGTTTGTGGTTCGTACCTATAGCTGAAACAATTCATCAAACGACTGAAATCCAATAAGGATTGATGATATGCTTAATACCATGTTTGTGTGCAAAACGGACATAAATAAATCAATGAACAAAAAGCACCTCACATGGCGTTCTCTTTCGGCCATCGCCCTTCTTTGTCCTTTGATAACAACTGAGCGTCTCAGGATAAAGCCTCGCTCCCATTCCTCTAGATCATGGGTGTCTAGGATAGAATAGGTATTTTTGGATAAGCCGTGCGTGGTTCACGCGCGGTTTAGCGAACATGTCTTTCCTGTTTTTTTTTTCCAATTTAATAGGGGCAATGCTATTCCTACATAAAACTAATACCGTTTACTGTCGTAATTTACAGTAAAACGTACGCATTTAGGTCTGGTTAATGAAACTTTGTTGAAAAAGGTTGAAAAGAGTTTTGAAAAGGTTCAACTCGGTCTGAACATACGGCTTTAGTTCGATGCTAAATATTAATATGAGTATACCACGCAGTTCTGTGTTGTGTTACATTACATTTTAGAAATCATAATGTAGCCGGCAGAACGGATAAATAGATACCCACCCGTTTTTCTAATCCCGTACTGGATATGTCTAATCTCTAAAAAAAAAACATGTGACTCTCCCGGTTTAAAGTCTTGCGTAACATTGTGTCCGCTCAAACTTGTCAAAACAAATTCATGGTACCTTAAAGCCTTGCCTCATACCATGCGCAAGTATGGAAACGTTAGATTGATGTTTGAAATGTCTATCTAATTGATATAGTAGTACTATTTAATACCAACGAACTTCACATGTTCACTATTTCATATTAGGTTTCTGGGTGCGTTCCTCTGGACAAACCTTCAACTGCCAACTGTGCTGTAACTCTGCCTTCTGAGACTGCACTGTTTGCAATACATGTATAATTGCCACTGTCACTATTGTTCACACCGCTGATTTTCAGTATCGATGATTCAACATCGTTTAGAATTCTAATACGATTTCCATCTTTGAGTAAATGCCCATTCTTTGTCCAGGAGAATTCGGCATCTTTGCCCTGGGTGAGCTCACAGACGAGCGTCGCCATTCGGCCCACGCTAAACCTTTTCGACCCAATTTCCATCAGGCGAATGCTTCCTCTATCGAGTTTATCTGCCCAATATATTGAAATTCATTCGGAATATATGACTTCATCATTTAGAGAAACTGACCATGCTAAAATTATAAGAAACACTGAATTTGTCTAACCGAGAACATGAACTGCATCAAGTATTTCGTTTCTGGAACATGAAAAGCGCTGCTTACCCCAGGTTGCGAGATTGCTGCGCGACCCACAAATTAGAAGAATGATCACTAAAAAATACTGGCGCACTAGATTGTAGTAAAATATAATCATCGTTACAAATGCTTTCACACAGCACATTCAATACATCAGTCTGAACGGGCATCAATGCTTTTTGGTGGTTCGGGATATCAAAGGTGGTTAGAAAAGTCTCATTACCAGACTTTGGTTGGGAGTGCAGCTAGGCTAGGGCGCCAAACCTTGAACATTCGGTAAATGTAGTTTGGCTGTCGCATCCTTCAGAGACGGTAAAGTTTCAAATACGTTACCATTACTTAAGTCACTTAGTATCATTAGTCAGCCAGAATAATGATCTGACAATTAAAGTATTCGACTTATTATAATAAGTTCGCCTGTTTTTTTACCAATATTTTTGAAATTTTATTCCGTGCACACAACTCTAACTGGTTAGCCACAGTGTGAAACGCACAACTAACAATATGCGTTTCTAATAGATCGGTTTGATTAGGACCTTGGAAAGGTTGTTTTTTCAATAACACCTGCGGGTTCAAATATTGAACATTACTGCTGGGCTTGGATAAAACAATGCGAAAAAAAATGTCGACAATTTTTAATTATTGAGGGTTCACTGTGTAATAAATAGGTCATTTGTATCACTTTGTTTATTTGTCCTTAGGTATTCCTGTTTTATAAGACACCATTGACTCTATCCACTGACCAAAATAACTTCAATTTTTACCACAGGAATTTCAATAGGCTCGCATTAAGCAGAATATGCAATAATCTATGCAAAATTTCCGCGGCTTAGAAGCTCTGTGTTTTTGACAATTTATATATAATAAACAACAGTGCAGCTTTAACGCCGCCGATCCCAGCTAACCTTCCACACGCAGTCGAGTTGTTACACGGGCCTCGGAGCGTCTAGTCTTTGCTACGCAAGTATAGTTTCCACTATCATTGTGACCCACATTAGATATTTTCAAAATGGACGATTCTTCCGAGCTTATAACTCTAATTCGATGTCCATCTCTGAGAAGACGGCCTCTTGAAATCCACGAAAATTCAACGTCTTTGCCATCACCCTCAGATATTTCACAGACGAATGTGCCCACTCGTCCAGATTTTAAATCTTTCGATGGAATTTCAAGGAGCTTAATAGCGTCTGAAAGAATCGTATGGAAATTTCAATTTTTTTTAAAGATATTATTGTACTAGTCTCGTGTGCTTTTCGACTACCATTGTAGTTTACAGTCGTGTGTTATAATTGCTACACCTCGACTAAACTGGCACGTAAGAGCATTAGGGTAGTAAAAATTATTTCTCTATCTAGGTCGAGGAGAGTCTACTTACCATTCGCGGCAGAACATCGACAAAAATGATATCCTAGCATAAGTGTTAACGTCAATAAATGTTCATTCTGCATCTTCAGCACTCGCTCACGCCACAAACAAAAGCGGTAAAGCCTAAAACTTTGATTGTGCGAAACGATGCTTCCCAGCAGAGTGCTAACGTTCGTTAGTCAATTTTAGCCTCGTCCCCAGAAGAGGATAACATTGCACCCTGCCTAGCGCGTAAAATTTAAAAACTTGCCATGTTCATTGTTTATCGTAGTAGTTGCTCCTATTAAGGTGAACATGACAAGGCCTTTCCAATGGATTTATTCTTTAATTGTAAGCGTAATTGAGACTATTGCCTTCAGTAGTCTTCAATAAAAAATGTATGTGAGAAGACAAGCTTTTGGCTTACCAAAGTCTGCCATTTATGGGCGGATTTATAGGTCGTTCAAAATTTCCGTAGGGTGTCAAAGAGAGTATCCCGCTTTATTAGGGCTGCCATCACAATAAATATATAAAAACAAACTGTCTCTGACTTATAGCATCAAAAATGTACATCGCTATTTCTGCGTTTCATGTAACTTATTACAGCACGCAAAACTATATATAGAGCATTGTAGCATATGCTTCATCTAGCATATATTTTCCAATAGAAAACCTGTAGCTATGCGAAGTACATCTGCACATGGATAATTTTAATGAATGTAGAAAACTAAACTTCTTTTATCAATTCAGACGATATCTTCAACGTTCTGAAGCACCCGATGTTTTTTTGTATTCAACTAGTGTTAACTATCAGCGCTCCGCATGTCGTTTATAACATATTCATTATTTCATTCAATACTAACGTCAGTAAACATCATTTTAATAGATAAGTTTGTAGCCAGCTTATAACTGGTCCTGAATTTGCTATATAACGTCTCTGCTTTATCTATTTCAATAAGCAGAACAGAAAACATGTGCTTATCGTGTTATAATAAGTAAGACAACTTACGCAGCTTCATTTTACTACATACAAACATCGCATTCACTTTCATGTTCGACCTTTTTTTGTCCAATATGTGATCATGTCCACCAAAAAATAAAAAAATAGAACTGTACATATATGTACATTTTATGCGTTGACAAATACGAATGTGCACCTAATGAATACCTTCAACCCTAAGTGTTGCACTCCTTCGATCCTCTGAAAAACTATTTTTCGCTACACACATATATGAACCAGCGTCCTTTGGATTGACGTTCCGAATTGTCAGGAATGAATTTTCAGGGTGACTGGTTATCCTATATTTTTCATTTTGTCGAATCAGTTGTCCTTCCTTCAACCAAAGAAATTCAATCGCTATCCCATTTACCACAGTGCATGTAAAGCTGGCGCTTTTTCCAGTTCGGACCGTCCTTGACTGAATATTTTCCAACTGAATAGACTCTAAAAATTTCACATAACAGCTCGTATAAGGCAAATGTTTCGTCATGGTACTTTCGGGTTCAATTACTCCATGTACGCACGCATTGTCGTCGACCCAGGCCTCCAATTCTGGCCCAATTATTCTCAATATCGTGTACACAGAACTCACCGTTAGCGTGCGTAAATCTGCTTAAGCTGCAAACTGTCATAAGAACTGTCAAAACCACAGAGTTAAGGTGTACAAACACCCTTATTGCATGTTCCTTTGACATAACTTCCACTGCTTACAACGCTCACATTACGGTGTGACAATGCAGAATAGATAATGACTGAGTAAGAAGAGATTCCAAATGATCTAACCATTGTCGTAGCCTTGCTCCCATATCGTGCCCTCTGCGTATGCGAGACTAGGGCGCTCATATTTTAACATGTAGACGACAAAGTGTGCCATGTATTCCTCATTCTCAAAACGTCTGTGCTGTTTGTGTAAATAGCAAGGTTTGCTAATTCTAAAGAGTGCCGTTGCATATTACGGACATAGATGCTATGGCGTTGTTGATTTTTCCCAATATGCTATGCCATGAGGCCGATACCGTAAATTATGGACTTTTATTCACCACTCGCAATCCATTCCGTTTTGCATGTAGGTGTTTACTGGCTCTCTAGCCGCCGTGCCATCGGGTTATTCCCTCCAGTGAGCATTGATTAAATAGGACTATATAGGTTGAGTAAAGCGAGGTGCATTTGTAAATTCGTAAAAAAACATTTACTTTGCTCTTTTTAGGGTTTTTCCATTGGCGCCAACAAGGACATGATTTTATATTGTTTCTTGTTTAACAACTACAAACAAACAGGTAGATCATAATTTGTGTCTATCTTGGTTCTCTGAATGATATTGTGACATGGTATTTCTGGTGAAAAGATGTTAAGGCAATAGTAGAGTGATATTTTGGATGTTTTTTTTATTATAATTTAAATGGGCTGTTTTTTTTTCGATTGCAATTAAAATAGGCTTATTTATTTCGGTATCAAAAAGCGGACGCATTGCCTGCATAAATATTATTACAGATTTAGTTGTAAAAATGTATTACCTTTCACTGAAAGTATGGCTTTTGTATGATCTTCGGAGAAGCTATTTTTAGCAACACAAACATACGTCCCTGCGTCGCTTTGATCCACATTTTTAATCGTCAAAACAGAATTTTCAGGAGTAATTATTATCCTTGACTTTTCATCCTGCTGCAACAATTGTCCTTCTTTCAACCATAAAAATTCCGTAGCGTCACCACCGGCCACAGAACACATAAAACTGGCACTCTTTCCTTTTCGTACCGTTTTAGACTGGATTTTCTCCAACTGAATTGGATCTTGAAGTTCATCAATCAACAATCCGATATGTTATTCTCTGTTTTGTATGTAAAGAAATGACAAAAAATCTGGTTCAATCTCAAGCATCAGAGCAATCCTTCCGAAAGATATCAATAGCCAGAACTCACCATTGGCATTGGCAAACTTGACTAATACAGAGCAAATTGTCACGAAAATCGTAAAGACCACAAAACCAAAATGTAACGACATCCCGGTTTTTATTTGACTCGGTTGCACCTTTTCTGCTGTAAAAGCACACAGTATAACATTGCGTGTGACGAAGCAAACTGAACATGAAAATGTATTCATAGCTTTCAATGTTGTCGTAGCCTCATTCCCAGAGCGCTTCGTTACCCTACGGGAGGTTCTAGCGCGTACATTC